TAAACAAAAATGTAAATAACATGTTAATATTTGAAAAGGTACAAAATATGGAGTAAATATTTTGAATTTGAAAAATAAAAATGCAACATAAAAGTAAAAGAAATGTGGTAGGAAAAATATTAAAACTCATAACATTCCAAAACGTTAAGAGATAAGTAGAGGAAGAAGTGTAATGGAGTAAGTAATTAAAAAAGGAGACTGAGCAAGGATCAAACCCGAGTCTCCCTGCAGCTTTATAAATACTCAGCCATCTGTGCTACTTCAACTATTGAGTTAGACACGGGTCAGTTAGTACATATTATTATTGAGACGAGGCTGAGCATGCATATATACACATATATATATATACAGTAAAACCTCCGGCGAACGGGGGGCGGCAACACCGACCCGCTCCCCCCTAGTTCCGCCACTGCCGCAAATAAGAGAGTTTTAAGTTAGCGTTTTGAAATATAACGTTTTCTACTAATTGTTGTGGCCAAAAAGCTAATTTACCAAACATATTGTGACAACAGACAACTTATTACGCTAGTCAAACCCGCTAACTGAATCCTCTATCAACCATCCGCTAAATGTTATAAACTCTAACGAAGATCTTGAGTCTTGAGTCTCCATAGAATTGAACAAGTATATCTAAGTTCATTATGTGATGGCTTCAATTCTTGAGCTGAAAATATAATATAGCTAGGTTCGTTTCTCAAGGGTTTGTGCTGTGTACCTTGTTTAATTTATCTATTTATGTGTGTTACTTTTTATTTCTCCCTTTTACTTTACGATATGAATTTTTTTGATGAATTTTTGTGATCATCTTCTTCTTTAAGTCTAGTTTACTCATACCAAATTTCAGGTAAAATTTCAACCGTGAAGGTAGTCAAATGATTTTCTGAAATATACTGCGTTGTTTATCTACGCAGTTATCTTCAAACATTTATTTGGCTGCATTCACGATTAAATTTTAGCTGAAATTTGGTATGACTAAACTAGACTTAATGAAGAATATGCGCAAAAAATTTAATCAAAAAATTCCACCAGAAACCGTCTCAAATGGCAACGGTCAGACAGAGCCTCGGGTGATTTGCACTTTTTTGTTTTGTTTTGGAGTGTTGTGTTTTGTAAAGTTAAAAGCAAGGCAATGTGATTTGAGGTGCTCCATCGGGCTGTGGGTGATTGACTCGAAAATTTTCTTTTAAAATTTGAGGTGAAATGAGATGTAAAACTTTGTCTTGTCAAAAGAGTAACTTAGCTTATGTTTACTTTTTCATAGCATGCCACTCTTATTTCTTTATCATTTCTATTCTTTTTTGCTCAACTTTGTTCTTTAACCACGTGTGATGTTTATATACACTGTGTATGATGGAACATTATTCGCGCGGTAAATCAAAGAAACCATCGCAAAGCTAGTTTAATTTTGACGATTCATCGAAGCTAAGGTAAATAAATTTATGAATCAACAATAATTACGTTTTGTTTGTCAACTAATTATTAGATGCTAACGTTTTATTAGTTCTTTGATTGGTTAGTTAGATTAGCGTACGTATTTTTTTAAAGTAACAAGTAAATTTATGAATTTGCCAACATTTATGAATTAACAATTACGTGTTGTTTTGATGTTCAAAATCTTCAATTACATGACAAACCAATAGAATTTCCAGCTCTTGAGATTTTTAAATGTAAGTATTAAATTTAAAATGGAGTAATTTTTAAGATTGGTATTGAAAAAAACTACTTAACATGTGATTAATATTAAAATAAAAATATGAATACTTTTTTAAACTAGTTAAAAAAGTGACTAGTATTAAACAATCATTACGTGACTAGTAAAACAACACTACTTAAAATGTGAGTAATCTTGAAATAAAAATGCAAATACTTAAATAAAATAAAATGTGACTACTTAAATGTGTTTAAATGATATAATTGTGACTCGTAATATATCATATTAAAGGAAAAATAATTAAAATGTCTCAAACTTTGAAGTGTTGTGAGGTAAACACCTCAAATTTGCATATGGAAATTCAACATCTCAAACTTAATATATTAGCACCATGAGCACATAATTTTCATCATAAATTATGTGACCATATATTTTAAATTAATATATGACCATAGTGCTAAAAATCTTTTTTATGTAAATGTTGGAGTATTTAAATTACAAATGCAAGTTGGGTTGTTTACCCATGATCGTTGATGGCGCGCAATCCCCCGTTCGGGATTTTAACTGCGCAAAATTATACGTAGAAAGGCGCAGTTAACTTCCAAAAATTATTTGACTGCCTTAAAGATTGAATTTTAAGCTGAATTTTTTCGTGGATAAACTAGACTTGATGAAGAACATACCATAAAAATTTCATCAAGAAATTCGACTGGGAACAGCCTCGAATGGCGATGTTCAGACGGCGCCTCAGGTCCGAACATTCGGACCTAAGAATTCTCCTATATATATATATATATATATATATATATATATATATATATATATATATATATATATATATATATATATATATTATACGGGTACAGGTTCAGTGAGAACTCTCCTTAACGTGAGAATGAAATCGCTCCAAAATGATGCACATTAGGGTTCACTAGATAAGCCGGCCACTCCTTGATTGGGACCGAAAGATTGGTCCCAAGCCTGCCCCAAACAATACTGGGCTCGGTTCCAAGACGAACGGGACCGGCAGACTAGGTCCACGTCCAGGGCCGTGCCTATCATGAGGCCATTGAGGCACATGCCTCAGGGCTCAAAATTTTTTTTAAAAAGGGGCCCCCAAAATTATAGGAATAAACTTATACATATACTCCCTTCGTTCTTTATTAACTATCTCACATTCTTTTTTGGAATGTTTTTTATTATTTGTCTCTCTTTCTATTTTAGGAAAGTTTTTGATAAAATACCCTCACTTGCAAGGATCAACCCGTCGCCGCACCATCGACCACAGCCCCCGACAACCTCCGGCCCCACACCCAAGCATCCCAAACCCATTACCAACACTCCAAACCCATCCCACCAACCCAGCTGCCCAACACCCTCGCCTGCACCCGCCTCAGCCCCTCCCCTGTCACAGCCCCATCACCAGCACCCTTCACAGCGATCGCAAACAACATATTCCCACCCCTTCCCTCTAGCCCCGCCCCTAACCTGCCCCCAACCACCATCCCCATCTCCTGGTCCAACCAGCCCAACCCCCAATCCACCCCTCCCCAGCCGCTGTCCTTCCCTCAGGCACCTCTCCGGCATCGAGGATGATGGATCCAGCACTGGCTACCTTGAATAGGAGTCAATTGCAGAATTGGGGCTCAATTTCTCCTCTTTGAGTTCACTGAAGAATTGATGAATCCTAGTGGATTTTGGTTGGATTTCTTCGCAGAATCGACAAATTCTTCAGTGTGGTCATGGAAGACGACGGGCAGAGAAGATTGCAGAGGAGCGATGGAGATCGATCGATCCTTCTTCCCAACCACGTTCGATCTATTGATGGGGAGAGAAGGTGTCGGCAAAGGAGAACGAAGTTGGAACACAGAGCAGAAGGTATATGCAAAGGATTGGAACACACAACAGAAATGTCGAAGAAAGAGAGGCAAATGTTAACTCACTTTTTTGTCTAGAGAAGCACTGAAACAGTTAAAACAAACCAAATAGTTTAGTTTTATTTTAATATAGGAGAAAAAAATAAAAATACCCCAAACTTTTAAGGGGTGTGAGGTAAACACCCCAAACTTGTTACATATGTAATTCAAATACCCCAAACTTCATATAAAAAGTTATTTCGGCACCATTGTCATATTTTATTATTTCAAAATGTAAATTTATGAGGTTAATTGCATAATTTAAAATGTTGCAATTACATAGATTGGAGGTAACATTATTTATTTCGCAATAGAAGTTTATAATGTTAATTGTGTCTTCATGAATTCTAAAATATTTTATATTATGCAATTAACACCATAAATTTACATTTTTGAAAGAAATAATACTTAAATATGGTGCTAAAATAATTTTTTATATAAAGTTTATGGTATTTAAATTACATATGAAAGTTTGAGGTATTCATCTCACACTCTTTCAAATTTTGGGGTATTTTAATTATTTTTCTCTTTAATATTATATTTTCCATGTGGCAGCTATCATCGGTGGAAGAGCTAGGGAGGGGCATGTGATAGCATGCACCCCCGCTTCTGGCCAAAAAATTAAGTACTACTACTTAGAATATGTTTGATGCCCCCTTCTTTGAAGAAAAAAAAATACTAATTAAAGTCAATTTTAGATTAAGTGTTAAAATTAAAGGCAAAATCTTTCAGGAAAAATGTCCATAGGAATACAAGTATTGGCTACATCATACCACACTCATTTTAATGCAAGTGTGGATTATTCTAGACCTTTAATGGCACATGGATTGGCTTTTCATGGTTAGTTATAGTGAGGAAGCAAATATTGAGAATTAAAAATGTTATCAAATTTATTGAAACAAAAAGATCAAAACATTCTCGAGAATGTGTCTCATTCTCTCCTTCATGAAGAAATTCATGAGAATTTTAGAATATTGCATAGCTATCTAAGATTTTCTATATGTGCGTAATGAAATATTGAATGTTCTAGAATAATGTCAAATTTTCTAGAGAAGTGTGAAACTCACTGAAATAATGTGGAAGCCTCTAGAACATTTTGAAGAATTGTGGAATTCTGTAGATCCTTCAAAAAGTTAGAGAAACTTGTAGATACTTCTTAGGAGAATCTAGAAGTGTGGTGGTGTATAAAAAGTTATAGAGAAGCTTTGATGATATTAGTATATAGTGGGGTCGGACTTCTCATTTCTATGAGAACCTTGAAGAGAGCTCTTCAATGAGTGAAAATGAGAGCCATCTTGAGAGAGAAGAGTGAGCTAGTGAAGAACATTCTTAAGGGTGAGAGGAGACAACCTATGACAGCTTCTTATAAGTGTATGTAATCGAGTTATGTAGAATGAAGTAATCTCATATACAAAGAGTGAAGTAAGTTACTCGTTTATTTGTAAAATGTCTGTTATACATTTCATCAATAGTATAATACAAAGTGATATTGTCAAATTGAGTCTTTGCATTATGAGTGTGTTAGTGAGTTTACAAGAATACTATGAGTTTGTGATCCTGAGAAAGCTGGGAGTTGTGTTTTCCCAACATGAAGTTATCATGCAACATTGTGAATATATACAGACATCAGTCAAGTAGTGTGTAATGAACTATAATTTGTGCTAACGTGTTACGTTTTAATCTTCGGTATGCTCCCCTTTGAAAAATCTCTGGCTCCGCCACTGGCTAACATGAACTCTAAAGATTGATTGCATTTGAGACTTATTGTAATCCTCACTATCCAATTACTCCACTTTTATTTTGTGGACTAGAAAGTCATTTAATTATTTTCCATTCTCACTTTTAAAATAGACTAGACTTAAATGCATTGGGGATGTTCTAAGTCCCGATTAACCGGTTACTCTGACGACATGATAGTCAGAGTGGCCTTTTTCCCTTTTTTCTCTTTTCTTTTCATTTCTTTTTTCCTTTTCTCCCCTACTACTACTACTACTTTATTGTTCCGCTTTCCTTATTGTTCCCTTTCTTCTCAATAAATAAAATAGTGTTAATTTTCGTTATCAATGATAAAGTTGAAAGGAGAAAACTTGACTACGTCGGCAGAGTAATTGGGGTGGAAGAAAAAAGGGGGAAAGGTCGGATGGGAAGAAGACACAAGAGAAAGGAGAGAAACAAAGGAAAAAACCCAGAAATGAAAAGGTTTGTATGGGAGGGTAGGGAGGAAGAAGAAAGGAAGAAGAGATAGGGTCCAAGAATAAAGAAGAAAGGGGAGGTGGGGTGGAAGAAAAATAAAAATAAAAAGAATAAACATGTGGGTCGTAGTCGTCATGTCAGAGTAACTAATTAATCTGATTTTAACCAATTAAATTATACGTTTGATCGTTTTTCTAAAGTTTGTGAGCCTAACTAGGCGTTTTTTCAGTTTGAGAGCTTCATTGATTTTTTAACATAGTTGAAAAACCCAATCGTTTTTCTAAAGTTTGTCGGAGTAACTAATTAATCTGATTTTTTAACATACTACGAGTGTCTATTTGACAGTTTTTCCTATTATAATTGAAATAATAATAGATAGGAATGTGATTTTTAGTGCACAGTGGCCATGTTAATATTATAGGGAAAACCCAATCTAAAAGTCTAAAACTAGTAACAACAACCTTTTTGAAGGTGCGTGTTCTCAACTCATCTTAAGTGGTTTTTATGAGGTTGCCAAACTTTGAAGCTCCATTATCTTAATAATTGGTTGAATACTTTGAATCTACTCCTCTTATGTTTTTTTGCATTCACCTTATTTATTAAATCCGTGAACAGCGTCCCTAGGAATGTTATCAGTGATAACTAAAACTAGCACTAGTTATTTATTTAGAAGAAAGGGAACAACAAGTACTCTGCATAGAAGAGATTCCATATAAACCGGTAGAATTCTAAAATTGCTTCCTGCAAAATGCATTACCAAACCACGTTAATACATTTGCATAAAGCCGTAAATACTATGGTTCATAAGACTGATAAGAGTAAGGCACTCACCTTAGTATAATTTGATTTTTCCAATAACCAAGCCTGAAAATAAACACAAACCCCTTCTTACTACATTTTTAAAAAGTAGTGATTTATTTACTATTCAAATTACTCAACTATTTTTAAACATTATTCAACAATATATATAGATAACAATATACATAGATCGATTCGAACCGAGCATTCCAACTCAACTGGTTGTGAGGTTACCGTGCCTAGTGGGAGATCTCGAGTTCGAAACCCACTAGGCACATAAGAGTTTGAAACTCAATGGAGTGAGTTTCGGCCTTGATTAGTCCAGACCCCCCAGCCCCAGCCCCAGCCCCCTCCCCCAGATCCCCCGGAGTAAAAAAAACATAGACCGATTCGTGTTAGCTGACCCCAAAATCTTTTGGAATTAAGGCTTGGATGTTGTTTATTCAACAATATCAGTGTCAAAGTTTATAATGAATTTTCTTCATGACCCAACCTTCTTACAAATTAAGAACAAAATGAAATTAAAACCTGTTATCATCACAGGCTTTTTCCAGTTACAAGGTATACGTACCTGGAAAACTAAACATACTGCCAATGTTGTATGTAAGGGTATCATTAATCTGGTTCTGAAAGCCTACAAATAGTTCAAAATAAGAGTAGACAAGAAGAATTTAAAACCGTATATTGACACAGAAACACATCACCTGATAATACACCAATGGTATATGACTTTATGATGACCCAAATACGAAATACCCAATAATATGACTAAATAACAGATTATTAACTCAGACAAAGACGGACTCACTTGAGGAATGTAAGTTGCAGCCAATACCGCACCAAAGTAATTTACCAGCAATAGCCCAGAGCCCAAAATTGCTATGTTTCTCACACCAAGCTTTGTAGCGAAGGTAGAAATTTGAAACCTGGAATAGGTTTATTAAAAAATGTATACATATACTCCAACCCTAATTCTAAGTATGTAAAAGGGAAAAAAATCTTTCACTGAGATATCCAAAAAGAAGGGGAGCCTTGGCGCACCGGTTACGGTGTCGTGTGACCAAGAGGTCACACGTTCAAGTCTTGAGAGCGGCCTCTTGTCAAAATGGCAAGGGAAGGCTTGCTCCATATACACCCTTGTGATGGGACCCTGTTAGGGTTTTGGGATTGAGAACGGGTCCAGGGACGACTTGGGGTAGCAAGGTACTCGATTGAGGTCGTAACCTGCCGGTTAGGGTCACTCTTCTTCTTGCCCGTGGCTGGAAGAGCGCAGGGGGAGGGGAGAGAGAGTCTGTGACTTCTCTGGGAACAATTTCTAATGATCGATAATTTTATTAAGGTTGAATAAAGAATATAAATAGGCATCCTGCCTTTACATGATAGAGTTCTAGTCTAACTAAAATTGTAACCTCTAAATACGTCTATTACTAATAGGAAATAATAAATAAATAAATAAATAAATAAATAAATAAATAAATAATAAAATAAATAAATAAATAAAATATAAAAAATAGCATTAGGATAGATTCCTCTTCCAAATAAAATATAAAAAATAGCATTAGGATAAATATGTTTCCTCCCTAGAAACTGAGCTTTAATAGAGTTTAGAAGAAGAGAGAATTGTAGATTGAATTGCCTACTTTATTCTCATGCATACATTGGTATTTATACAATCATTGGGAGCCTATGTAATAATTATAATACTAATTACAAGGATATGTAACGGTTACAACTGGAATTGTAATAATTGAAAATATTATAAATTAATATTTTTTGGATTCTTCTACACGCCCCCGCAAGCCAGGTTTTCTGTGAACCGATTGTTTCCTTTTTAGATGTTTCGAACAGGGTGGTTATCGGAACAGTGATTGCCACACATTCTATCTCAACGTCCTCTCTGCATGAGAGGGCATCAGCAGCCGCATTTAATCTTCCCGGCTTATATGCCACACGAAAATCAAATCCCACCAGCTTGCTTAGCCAATGCTGTTGCGGACAGGTTGTCAAGCGTTGCTCCAAGAGGTACTTTAAACTGGAGTGATCGGTGCGGACAAAAAATTGGCGACCCCAGAGGTATGGTCTCCGATGAGTAATGGCTTTAGTGAGGCTAATAGGGTGTCCTACCTGCTAGAGCACTGCCCCCATCCCGGTCCCGGATGCATCACACTCCACCACAAATTCTTTTTGGAAATTAGGTAATGAAAGCACGGGAGCAGAAGAGAGTAACTCATTCAGTTTCTCAAATGCATGGTGCGCTTCTGAAGTCCACTGAAATGAGTTTTTCCTTAAAAGAGAAGTTAGGGGAGCTGCAATCTCATCGTAATTTTGTACTCCGTATGAATTTTTGGTAATAGCGCGTCAGTCCCAAAAAAACCCTTAGAGTTTTTGTTGAGTGAGGAATTGGTCATGCTTTAACCGAAATCACTTTTGAGCTATCAGCTTCTACCCCCTTTTCATTATGACATGTCCCAGGTACGAGACTAGGGTTTCTCCAAACATGCATTTGGACTGCTTCAAGAAAAGGTTGTTTTGACGAAGAATTTCAAACACAAGCCGCACACGATGAAGATGTTCCACCCATGTTTTAGTGTAAACCAAAATATTGTCGAAGAAAACCATGATGAACTTGCGTAAATAGGGGCGAAAGATGTTGTTCATAAGACTTTGAAAAGTGAATGGTGCAATAGTTAGGCCAAAGGGCATAACTAAGAACTCAAAATGCCCATGATGGGTACGAAATGCAGTCTTCTCCACATCTTCAGGGTGCATCCGAACTTGATGATACCCTGATCTTAACTCCAGTTTGGTGAAATATTTTGCACCGTGAAGTTCATCAAGCAATTCATCTACTACCGGAATAGGATATTTATCCTTGACGGTGTTGTTAAGTTCTCGATAATCAACAGAAAACCGCCAAGAGTTATCGTGTTTCTTAACGAGTAGAACTGGAGAAGAGAATGGTGATCTGCTTGGCAGGATTATTCCCTGATCGAGCATCAATTCACATTGCCTTTCAATCTCGCCCTTTTGGAAGTAAGGGTACCGGTAAGGTCGCACTACCACCGGTCATGTTCCAGGTTTTAGGGTAATCCGGTGATCACACTCTCTCTGCGGTGGCAGCCCCTTTTGTTTAGCAAATAAATCTTCGTAGTCCCTCATTAAGATGTCCAACTGAGCTGTGTCTGGGTTGTGTCTGGGTCGTTGCTGTGAAGCAGCGCCACACGAGGAACATTTGTAGGGTGTTGTCCGTGCCAAATCACTGTCATGCTCCCCCTTTCGAATCGCATCTTTCTATCTGAGAAATCCCAAAATATGGGCCCTAGAGTTGCCAACCAGGACACACCTAATATGGCATCAAAACCTCCAGCGGAATGGTGTAAAAATCTGCGTTGTATTCCTCTCCATCAACCAAGAAAGGAACTTATTTGCATACTCCTTGACTTGGAACCCTTTCACCGTTAGCCACTCGCACATGTAACCCCGACTTCCTGAAAATTAGTAACTTCAGAGAGGATACTACCGCTTCTCTTAAGAAATTATGGGTGCTTCCGGAGTCAATCAACACTGTCAACTCTATTCCTTCCATTCGTGCTAGTAATTGCATGGTCGATGAGTGTTTTGTACCACTGATAGCGTTGACAGACAACTCCAAGTCTGGTAGGCCATCTTCCTTCTCCTCATCTTCGATCTCGAACAAGAAAAGCTTCTTGCACCGGTGATTCATTGGCCACAGTTCATCACAATTATAACAGAGCCCTCTTGCTCGTCGTTCTGCCATTTCACCCTTCGTGAACCGTTTAATGATCGGGATTCCTGCCTTAGTTGTCATGGGCGCTTGTCTATGTTGTTGCGGGCTTCGTTGTTTCGCATCTGTTGCAACACTCCAACCTTTGACAGGTGCAATTGTCAATGATTGCTTTGCTTTTAATGTCCGCGCAAGGTTCATTGCATACCCCAGGTTTCCTGGTTTTGCCATCTCCACATCCGCCCTCAAGTGAGGTTGTAAACCAGCGACATATAACGCAATCTGATGTGTGGGTTGTATTCCTGAAATTCTTGCCAAGGCCTTCTGGAATTGGGCGCAATATTCATCAACTGTCCCTGTTTGCATCAAAAGCTTTAGATAACCTACCAGATTAGAACTCAGAGGGGGCCCAAAACGCTCCAGGCAAAGGTAAGGTCTTTAAACTTCTCCCAGTTGACTTCACCTTCCTCCTCGATCATTTGGTCGAACCAGAGTTGTGCATCATCTATCAAGTGGAACGCAACAACATTCACCCTGGCAGCACTAAGAGTTTCTTGATTCAAGAAGAATTTTTCACACCTTTTCAACCCATCGAATACCGGGAATTCCATCTTCGCATATTGTGGTCTCCAGGGTTTCGTGGTTCTCTGCAAATGTTGGTCTTCCACTCGGCTGTTATCCACTTCATCTTCATGTGTTTCTACTATCTTTGAATCTCGTTTGTGGACTGCCAGAGAGAGAGCCGTTACTTGCCCTTCTAACGTGGTTGTCCTAGCAGTCATAGCCTCCATAAATTCCTTCATCATGGTGGTTGAAGCAAGCAAGCAAGCAAGCAAGCAAGCAAGCAAGCAAGCAAGCAAGCAAGCAAGCAAGCAAGCAAGCAAGCAAGCAAGCAAGCAAGCAAGCAAGCAAGCAAGCAAGCAAGCAAGCAAGCAAGCAAGCAAGCAAGCAAGCAAGCAAGCAAGCAAGCAAGCAAGCAAGCAAGCAAGCAAGCAAGCAAGCAAGCAAGCAAGCAAGCAAGCAAGCAAGCAAGCAAGCAAGCAAGCAAGCAAGCAAGCAAGCAAGCAAGCAAGCAAGCAAGCAAGCAAGCAAGCAAGCAAGCAAGCAAGCAAGCAAGCAAGCAAGCAAGCAAGCAAGCAAGCAAGCAAGCAAGCAAGCAAGCAAGCAAGCAAGCAAGCAAGCAAGCAAGCAAGCAAGCAAGCAAGCAAGCAAGCAAGCAAGCAAGCAAGCAAGCAAGCAAGCAAGCAAGCAAGCAAGCAAGCAAGCAAGCAAGCAAGCAAGCAAGCAAGCAAGCAAGCAAGCAAGCAAGCAAGCAAGCAAGCAAGCAAGCAAGCAAGCAAGCAAGCAAGCAAGCAAGCAAGCAAGCAAGCAAGCAAGCAAGCAAGCAAGCAAGCAAGCAAGCAAGCAAGCAAGCAAGCAAGCAAGCAAGCAAGCAAGCAAGCAAGCAAGCAAGCAAGCAAGCAAGCAAGCAAGCAAGCAAGCAAGCAAGCAAGCAAGCAAGCAAGCAAGCAAGCAAGCAAGCAAGCAAGCAAGCAAGCAAGCAAGCAAGCAAGCAAGCAAGCAAGCAAGCAAGCAAGCAAGCAAGCAAGCAAGCAAGCAAGCAAGCAAGCAAGCAAGCAAGCAAGCAAGCAAGCAAGCAAGCAAGCAAGCAAGCAAGCAAGCAAGCAAGCAAGCAAGCAAGCAAGCAAGCAAGCAAGCAAGCAAGCAAGCAAGCAAGCAAGCAAGCAAGCAAGCAAGCAAGCAAGCAAGCAAGCAAGCAAGCAAGCAAGCAAGCAAGCAAGCAAGCAAGCAAGCAAGCAAGCAAGCAAGCAAGCAAGCAAGCAAGCAAGCAAGCAAGCAAGCAAGCAAGCAAGCAAGCAAGCAAGCAAGCAAGCAAGCAAGCAAGCAAGCAAGCAAGCAAGCAAGCAAGCAAGCAAGCAAGCAAGCAAGCAAGCAAGCAAGCAAGCAAGCAAGCAAGCAAGCAAGCAAGCAAGCAAGCAAGCAAGCAAGCAAGCAAGCAAGCAAGCAAGCAAGCAAGCAAGCAAGCAAGCAAGCAAGCAAGCAAGCAAGCAAGCAAGCAAGCAAGCAAGCAAGCAAGCAAGCAAGCAAGCAAGCAAGCAAGCAAGCAAGCAAGCAAGCAAGCAAGCAAGCAAGCAAGCAAGCAAGCAAGCAAGCAAGCAAGCAAGCAAGCAAGCAAGCAAGCAAGCAAGCAAGCAAGCAAGCAAGCAAGCAAGCAAGCAAGCAAGCAAGCAAGCAAGCAAGCAAGCAAGCAAGCAAGCAAGCAAGCAAGCAAGCAAGCAAGCAAGCAAGCAAGCAAGCAAGCAAGCAAGCAAGCAAGCAAGCAAGCAAGCAAGCAAGCAAGCAAGCAAGCAAGCAAGCAAGCAAGCAAGCAAGCAAGCAAGCAAGCAAGCAAGCAAGCAAGCAAGCAAGCAAGCAAGCAAGCAAGCAAGCAAGCAAGCAAGCAAGCAAGCAAGCAAGCAAGCAAGCAAGCAAGCAAGCAAGCAAGCAAGCAAGCAAGCAAGCAAGCAAGCAAGCAAGCAAGCAAGCAAGCAAGCAAGCAAGCAAGCAAGCAAGCAAGCAAGCAAGCAAGCAAGCAAGCAAGCAAGCAAGCAAGCAAGCAAGCAAGCAAGCAAGCAAGCAAGCAAGCAAGCAAGCAAGCAAGCAAGCAAGCAAGCAAGCAAGCAAGCAAGCAAGCAAGCAAGCAAGCAAGCAAGCAAGCAAGCAAGCAAGCAAGCAAGCAAGCAAGCAAGCAAGCAAGCAAGCAAGCAAGCAAGCAAGCAAGCAAGCAAGCAAGCAAGCAAGCAAGCAAGCAAGCAAGCAAGCAAGCAAGCAAGCAAGCAAGCAAGCAAGCAAGCAAGCAAGCAAGCAAGCAAGCAAGCAAGCAAGCAAGCAAGCAAGCAAGCAAGCAAGCAAGCAAGCAAGCAAGCAAGCAAGCAAGCAAGCAAGCAAGCAAGCAAGATGATACTGCCTTAAGATGAGATGATAGTGAGAAAAAACACTTTATTTTCTCAAGATGATACATACTCCATGTAAGCCAAAGTCTTACTTCAATTTGTAGAAGAATTACTTAGGAGTTATAACTACCTCATTCCGATAAAGTTTTTTTTTTTTCAAAAGCTTTTTTGTCCCAAAAAATAATCATGTTTGATCACATGAAGATAAGATTTCATGTAATTTGTCAGAACAGAGTAGCAAAGAGGTTTAATATGGCATAATAAATTTAGTCAACATATCAAAAAAGGTTTTAAAGTGCAACTATAATTTATAATTTAGAAAAAATTCACATGAATAGTTCAACCTATTCACGTTCTTCTAATATTAATCCCGAATATATGTACTTCTAACATAATCTCAAATTTATGTGGTCTTCCGCCATTGATCCAGGTTACCTGCAACCTTCTAAACCGGTAAAAAAAAAGAGAAAAAGGAAAAAGATTGATCTGCGTCTGGATCCACTCCATCCTCATCATCATCTTCACTCTTCATCTATGGAGAAGACATGGAAGAAGTGTTCATCTTCCTCTACACAATACATCTTTTACTGCAAGAGTAGTTCAATCCACACAGAAAGGAAGGTGTTGCCCAAGGGCGGAGGTAGTGTATTAGCTTGGGGGGGCTTTGCCCCCCATCCAATTTTTTCCACTATACGATGTATTAAAAATCTGCCCTTCCATCTAATATACGCAGTATTATTAATAAAGGCTTACGAAGTGGTCATGGTAAAAGAAAATTATGCCCCTATCTTATTATGGATGCCATTTTAGAGTAAATCACAAGTTGCAAGTTGTAAAGTGGTGAGTTTTGAACTCATTGGAACTTTCGAAAATTAATACGTATATCACAAGTATACAAGAAGATCGATTAGCAACACAATTTAAATTGTTTGAGGTATTTTACCATATTTACAATTCCTTATCATGTATTCCGTAACATTAAAAGTAAGTCGGGATTCAATTGATTTAGTCAACTTATTAGTTAATTAGTAATTAATTTAATAAATATAACGTGATCAAAGGTTTGGTCAATTGTTATTACTTATTCTAAGCAATTTACAAATTATAATCTCATTAAAGATTTTAGTTTGTAAATTTGTTTCTAGTAGCAGATGGGTGATGTAATGAGTTTTTATTATTTTTTAGTAGCATAATTATTCATTTTAGGTTACCTGATATTGCAAGAAAGTCGTTGCCAAAAAATGAGCTCTTTTGGTTACCAAATGTGATCTATAGTATAGATTATTTTAATGCAAGAAAGTCATTCAAAGTTTTAGTTTGCATACTATCTTATACTTCCTCCGTTCTTAAATAAATGCAACGGTCAACATTTCACATCTGCCGAGGCCCAAATTTGACCATTAATTTGGTACTGCATCAAGGCCTACATCTTGTACCATGGTACAGAACCTTACAAATGTAGTAGTAGTAAAACACGTGTCGGGTGACCTGATGAATCCTCCTTTCACTCCGGTCATGGGCTTAATTTGAGAAGATGCCGCCATGTATAAATTAGATTATTTTAGAAATACTCATATTTTGGATTAATGTTGGAAGAACCGAAAAAGGTGGGATTATTTATGCGAATTTTACTATAATTTATATATTAGAGTTGTACCTTGCCAAAAATAAAAGGTTGTACTTGACCAATCATTACTTCCTAGTGCGGAGGGAGTATTTTTTTATATCAAAAAATGATACCAACAAGTTTTACTTTAAATTTACAAAATGATACCTTTTTACCAAAAAGTATTACCGTGAAACAATCTTGCACAAGTTTGTGAGCTCTAGGTATATATAAGTAGTTGTAGCAACTTACTTTCGATCACCTTCTACATCAGGCAGATCCTTTGTAATGGCAATAACCAAAGCAAACATCGTGACAAAACTTGTAATGAAAGCAACAGGTGAGCTGCAAGCAAGCCACAAAATTGAAGCCTATTTAGTTCTATTAAAAAATGGTGTACAACTACAGTAATTGCAACAAATAGACCTATTTCAGCATATTCAATATTCTACTTTGTACAGGATTGAAGAGGAACACAGAAAATCATTATTTGTTTTAGAATCAGATATGGGCTTGTTTGAGCGTGTCTACCAGCCATGTACGAAGGACCAACTTGTTTAGTCCACAAGTTATCTGTAGTTATTTTATTTATTTATGTCAGATTTTCTTATTTCAGTCAAATCCAGTTATTATGAGTTTGTAATAATTTAGATTTCTTTCCAATTATTGTTTCAGTACTCTTATTTTGCCCACATAAGGCTTATTAGTTGGAAACTTGGAATAAATTATTTAGCTAATAATTACTTCGTTTGATCTGTGGTGGAACCACCAATCACCTTCCTTGCCAAGAGGGAAAGTATGATTTTTATTCCTAATGCCATAGCTTCAAATCCTTTATCTCTTCAACAACCTCGGACTACATCATTCCTATGCCAAAGCTTCAAATCCTTTATCTCTTCGACAACCTCAGACTACATCTTGTACCAAGGTACAGAACCTTACAAATGTATAGTGTTATTATGCCTAAACAATCCTCAATGAATGACCTTTCTTAGAATATTAGAAATTACTTTCGCTGAGATTGAGAAGGCCAAAAGTGAAAGTTCATATTAAATGCTCTCGAAATTTTATAAAATGGCACATATTTTGTAGCAATTTCTGTTAACCAAAAGGACACTTCAATTTTAAAATTAAAAAACTCCTCTCTGCCTCCAAAATCCCCCTCCTAAACATACTCTTAGTGCAACTCAACAAACTAGGGCATGTTAAATTTTATGCATCGTAGTTAAACATTTAATTCTCAAAAAGAAGAGAAAAGATAAAGTCGATAAGTTCATTGTAAGTTCAAGATTCCCATCTTTTTGGTATAAGAGCATTTCTGCCAATTTAGAACGCCCAAGGAAATGAAAGGGCAGTTTCCATAATATAAAAGAAAACATTGATGTTAAGAACATTGATAGGAATCTGGCTTAGTAGGCTAATAATAAGAAATAATTATAATAGTAAGTGTACATGTAGTAGCATAAATAGAAGGGGAAGGGAGGAAAATAGGCAGGCAAGTATTCTGTTGAGATTAGGCTGGGAGACTGGGCATCTCGAATTGTCCTGGGGCATTGTACTTTCGTGAACTGATTTCCCTATTGAATAACACTTTCTATCTGTTCTTCTACAATTTCTCTTGAATTCTATATTGTTTTGTGGATCCAATACCTGTGTTCTATCATTGGTATCAGAGCAATGATTCTGGTGATCGGTATCACTGTAGTAGCATCACAATTTTTTTCATTCGGAACTGTGACTGATTCGAACTAGAGCCAAAATGGAGAATCTAAGGGAAGAAATGGAGCGTAGCAGGATCGCAACTGAGGAAACGTTGCTACAGATGAAAACGATGATGGAAAACATCGCAGTAAAGATGGATGCACTGAGCGATGAACTTCGCGAGAGAGGAAAATCGCGATCCCATCCTAGTCATCATACGCGACCTTCAACAACATCTCAGAAGTCATCGCCAACAACATCTCACAGTTCGCAGGCTTCAGTATCGGCTTCAAGCTCTAAAGCTTCGTCACGAACTGTATATCCTCAATCATCTTGATCGCAAATCTTTTCTCCCCGTTCGCAAACTGTATCGCAAGAGAAAAATATCAGTTCGCAGTCGCGAACCCCAATTACCAGCTCACAATCACGAACTCACTCTCTCAGTTCGCATTTCACTCCGCAGGCGTTCCCATCGGCTATCCACTCGCGTCAGAATGCGACGCTACCGAGAGAAGAATTTTCTTCTTCACAAGTCTTGTCGCCAGGCAGTTCTCACCCTGCACAAGTTTTGTCCCAAGAGGTTTATCCCTCTGCGAAAATTTCTTCTTCTTCCAGAGCCATTTACATTACTGATCCTGGAATTGGATTGTTGGAGACTACACATTATCGCAGTTCTCTGTGTTCACAGGCTTCCTTATCGCAGTCCCAATCAGCATCTCCTAATGCACTAGTTTCAACGTACCTAAAGAAATCAGCCGTTTCAGAAGCCATAACTCCAGGCCCAAAAGGAAAAGGATCTTCAGGGGGCCCACAGCTGGAAACAAACGTTGAGTCAAAGCCGTCTGCACCTTCAGTTCAACAATTGGAGACGAAAGAGGAAATTCTGAAAGGAGCAGAAAATATTGATTCATCAAATAACTTAGAAGCTAGAAGGAAATACATGTCGGATGCTACAATTTCAAAGAGTGAAGCAACTGAAACCCAAGGGCTTGGGTTATATCCTGAAGTAAGAGCTATTAGCAAAGGGAAGATTGAGCAGTTGGTGATAGGTAAAGCTCAGTTCCAATACGTTCGGGAAACCAATACGTTCATGCTTATTCTGCCTGAAGTTCATCAGGATACGACACTTGAAGATCGTTCTGTTGTTGCAAGAGCTATTGGCTCTTTTATAGGGGATAGGAAAGAAGAAAACTTCCAAGACTTGGGACTTTGGCGGTTAGAGAATCTGAAATCGCATGGCAGCACTGTTGTGCACCATTTCTGTTGGTTGTTGAAGTTTTACAAGACAAATATTGCTATAACGAACATCGAGTTGAAGTCAATTGATGAGGAAATTGAAAAAATAGATGAGGGGAACATTCTGAAGAAGTATGCAGATCATGAGAAGTGTATAGGTTCTGGGGATAAAGTTGTTGAGGTTCTGGAAATCCCAAATCAACAGTTAGGTCGCTACTTTGAAGATTGTAAGGTGTTGGTTGGCAGTAGGTTACTATCAGAATGGCAAACTGATAAAGAAAAGGAATCAACAGCAGTTTATGCTGGCTCGGAAACCACTATTGATGCCAGAAAGGCTGCTGAAATTGTTAGGGGAGTGGCACAGAGAGGGATGAAGATTGAAAAGCAGGGTTGCTTTGTTCGAATCTACAATGGGGGGCAAGGTTTGGGTCCACGGTCTGAGTTTGGAGTAGATCCTAGCTCTGGAATAAACTCAAGGTATCATGTTGAGCAAGTTGTTAAGTGCAGAGAGGTCAGTTATATCCCTACAGCAAGTCGAGTCAACTGCAGTACAACAAGACCGATAAGGTTGTCCGAAAAGGAATTGGTTAAAACGGGAAAGGAAAGCGTTCTATCAGAAAACAGGATTGGCAAGCTTCTAGTCTGGGGCTCCTCAGATCCTGGATTGAGAGGGGCTGATGAGAGTGATTTTGAATATCATTCTGGTGGAATCAATGCGGAACTGGATCCTACCCTTCAGGCGGTTGTGATTGATGTCTCCCAGATAGGGTACCTCGTGGATCTATTTTTAAAACAAGAAACTGTGAAGGGAATCACAGCTGACAGAACATTGAGGGATGTACTGAATATTCATTGTGAAGCTATTCAACAAGCAATCTGTAACCGTAGCTCTCTTCATTGGCAATCCAAACAGGAGGTTGGGAATGTTTTTACCATTAGGTGGGTGATAGCAACAGTGTTGAAGCTAAAGAGGATGGCTCGAGTGACAAAGCGGGGGAGCAGGACCCAACAGTGTCATTGCCTCGGCTCATTCATGCGAGGGTGGAGTTAAAGAGGATGGCTCGAGTGTTGAAGCTAAAGATCCAGAACGCAATGTTGTACTGGGAAGGGAGAGGCGCTCGGATGAAGATAAAATTGATAGTCAAGGCCGATTGCTATCACCCACCTTGAGGACAAGGTGGTTATTTAGGGGGGAGCATTGATAGGAATCTGGCTTAGTAGGCTAATAATCATCATTTTCATTTACCCCAGTGCCGCAAAGGCTCCCAACTACGGTGGGGTAAGGGGGGTCGGATGTACGCAGTCTTACCCCTTCTATTTCTTATTTTCACTATGGGTCATCCGGAAACAGTCTCTATGTGCTTTAGTACAAGGGAAGGGAGGAAAATAGTAAGTGTACATGTAGTAGTATAAATAGAAGGGGAAGGGAGGAAAATAGGCAGGCAAGTATTCTGTTGAGAATTTGAGATTAGGCTGGGAGACTGGGCATCTCGAATTGTCCCGGGGCATTGTACTTTCGTGAACTGATTTCCCTATTGAATAACACTTTCTATCTGTTCTTTATATTTTTGTGGATCCAATACCTGTGTTGTATCAAACATGATACTTCAGCTTACCTCCATTCAAAGTTTAGCCCCAAAGCTGCTCGTGTAGCATAATAAACACCATAATTAAGAAGAAACCCTCTCACCTGCAGTTCAGAAATCAGTGAGTGTTCTGTTTATAAAAGAAGAGTGTTACTTCAGATTTGGATGACATATGCTATATGTGTTCCCTTATTTAACCACTAAAACGGCTTTCTTCAAAAAGTTCCAATCAAGTGCTTAGCTAAATCAGCACAAAAGGTGCCTTTTTAGCCATTAAAATCACTTCTTTTTGCATTAACTTGCTAAACACTTCTTGTTAATGAAATTGTACTCTTTCATATAAAAAGCACTTATTCTTTGAAAATAACTAATACCAAACGCACTCTTGGGCATAGAAAGTTTTTTCTATACCGTCAAATATTGCAAAACTGCAAAAGTTTCTAGGTTATTTTCACCAAGATATATCTACTAATCTACTCATCATCATCATCATCATTATCATCATCATTACCCCAGTGCCGCAAAGGCTCCCACCTACGGTAGGGTAAGCGGGGGCGGATGGACGTAGCCTTACCCCCTGTACTAAAGCTGACCCATAGTATATCTACTAATCTACTATACAGGAAAAATATTCAGAAATGTCTCTATATAACCTGATTTTTTTTAATCGTTCTAAAAGTGTAAGAATATTTTCCACATAAAAAAGTAGGCAAAATGAAATGAGGGAGGAGGCATTGTACCGTTGCGATTATAAGAAATGCTAGAACTGGGAATCTCTTCATGCGAAAAGGAGGCACAGAGTAAATGGTGCCAAGGAAGAGACCAAGAGCATAAAGAGAACCAATAAATGAACCAAAGTTGATCCCGACAATAAAGAGTCCAGCCACAGCAAGCGATATCACCAAGATCCATGCAGATTGAACTGTAAGGTCTCCTGCTGCTATAGGTAAATAAGGTTTGTTTACCCTGCGAAGAGCAAACATTTTGCAGAGTAACTAAAAATCTAAAACAAATAACAATGTCACTGAACTGCTACTCCTATGAAGGATTACAGATATAAGACTTACAACACTCTAAGGGTCGTTTGGTTCAAAAGAATATAAGATCTTGGGAATAAGAGATCACTGAAATGTACTACCTCCATCTCGGCTTAAGCGTCTCGTTGAAAAATTGCACGATTATTTAGACAATAATTAAATAAGGTAAATCGAATATATTTTGAGAAGTAGTTTTGATGGACAAAACACATAATGAGGTCAATGATGATAATTGTAATGTTATAGGTGTATCATTTTTAATATTTGATGATTAATTTGTCATTTAAGAGTGCTAATTATTTCCTAAAATAGAAATGGGAAGCTTTAGCTGGGACGGAGAAGGTATTTGGTGAATTTATGGGGATGTAATACACTAATGCAAACATGTAAGGTTGATAATTTTATTTTTTATTAAGTTGACGTATCACCTAAAATACCCCTACATGTATGTAGATATGTGTGTTTAATTGTAATTTATTCAAGAAAGGCTCAAATGTTAGTGCCGAAAGCTTTACAAGGCTGTAAATTATGCTAAAAATGGAATATAGAACCTTTTAAAATGTGAACAGAATCAAGGGCATATATAGGGGAGCCTTACTCGGCCCAGGCCCACCCCAAGTTTGAAAAAGGCCTATACTTTATGTGTTCAATAATAATTGTGTAAAATCAGAACAAATTCTTTGTACCTGCCCACCCTAATAGTTGTTCTGGCTACACCACAGAACAGAATTATACTGATCCGGCATTGGAGTGGCGGTATAGAGTAACAAAAAAAAGTGACGTGAAGGCACGGTGGTAAAAGGCGGCTTAGGTAGCCTTCTGGCAATGCACCTAGATCAAATGGACAATGATTTGGCGAGTGGCCACCTAGGTCCTAGGCGCCAATATGTGGGTTTTTTATATAGTAACATGCACCATCCAAACGACCCTTCAATTTGCAACTCTTTTATTGTTGCTATTAGCTTTTTATTTTTGGCTATTAGTATTTTTGGCTATTAGGACTTAGGGTACAACCTCCATCATTTGCAATGGAGCCAAAGATTCATTATTTTTTGGCTTGAGATTATGATGGAATAAAGCAAACTGGCTCACTAAACTGTCTGCGCTTCTTTGTTACTACCTCCGTCTCGCTATGATTGTCCCATTTTACCTTATCGGTCCGTCCCACTAAGATTGTCCCATACCAAATTTGGTAAAGTTTGTGTGGCTCTAAATCATTCTTACTTTATTCTTACTTTATCAATTCAATATCAACCACATAAACCACTTTTTATTAATTTGCGTGTCACTCCCTCTTGTCCCATTGTTAGCGGGACGGAGGGAGTATGAAGCAGCAGTCAGTCCATGCAATTTTGGACGGGATTTTCGCTATGGGTCATCCGGAAACAGTTTCTCTGTGCTTTAGTACAGGGGTAAGACTGCGTACATCCGACCCCCCCACCCCACCGTATGTGGGAGCCTTTGCGGCACTGGGGTAAATGAAAATGAAAATGAGGACTTAGGGTACAACCGCAAGGCTTCCACCTCTGCAAATTATTTTGAAATATTTATGAAGAATCGGGCTCCATAGTCGTAAATGCTTCCACCTGTGCCTCATATTCCATTCACTGACAATGCTGACGCTTGCCCCTGGTCTGTCATTTGCCACCATGGCAGATGGAGCTTATGATGAAGATGGCTTGACAGAATTGACTGGTGATGCAATGCGGAAAGATTCTTAATTTCCTAAAAGAAGTGGCATGCAAGTCAACTTCATGATAATGATTTTAAATCACATGAGGAGGAGACAAATGAATATGAGGTTTAACTGTTTAAGTTGAGCCCGATTAAGATTGTGACCTTGTAAGTATATGGAGAAGAAGAGAAGACAAATGATGTAAAATTAGTTATGCCATTGGCAAATCCACTTAATACTCTCTGGATCCATTTATAACAACTTGATGACTTAACTTATAAAGAACTGTCTATTAAGATAATAAAGCATTGACCAATGGTATGATACTTTGTTTGCGATTGTGTTCAGTGGGTTGAGCTGTAGCTAGAAATTCTGGATGATTTTTCCTTTAAACTTAAGTATTTTATTTTGAGTATCAATCTTACAGGTTGTGCACGTTTCACATGCTATAGTGCTAAAGAAGTAACTGATACAAATCAATAATGCCTTGGACCCTTCAAATCATCATTTTTCAAGACAAAGCTCAAACTATAGTTTTAAAAATAAAACCCTGGGAATTGCCTCGGAACTGCCTGCATAGGCACTAGGTGGTGGTGGTGGACTGACTTTGGAGCACCTAGCAACTTCTAATGCCACGTGTATCTTACATAAGCTACAACAATGAGGGGGGGAATCACATTCCCGTCAAAATGGGTAAAAATATGAGGTGATATGATTAGCTTTATTGCTGAGAGACATAAAACACAAACCTAACGAAGCATGGAATGCAACTATGTAAGATTACAGTGTTCAGATAACCTTGGTAATGCTACATGACCTTGAACCAAACATTCCCTTAGCTCTGCCTTCACACGATCATTCCTTTGCACTAGTGGAGGACCCCCCCCCCCCCCCCCCCCCGACAACAATAATACTTTAAATTGGTCATGCTCACACAGACCTTAGGACAATGGTTAAGAAACTAAAAGCAGGAAGCTTTTAATCCAAAACCATGGGAGTTTGTTCTTTTTAAATACAACATTGTATTTCTTTGTCATCCACTTAAACAACACCCTAAGCCCTAAGGGATATGGTAAGGATTTTCCTACTTAAGAATAATAACAATTGTACTGAAAAGAAATAAGCATTTACGGTTACTTGTCAATTCCAATGTCGTATATCTGATTGATGCCCACTATATAGCCATTGCCACAAATGAGAGCAAAGAGCCCATAAAACGCCTTGAGTAACAATGACCACCTAATTAGATTTGGGTTTTCGATTAGAGCTCTTGCTACCAATGATCTGCAAAAAGAAAGTCATTTCCACAACAATCACCACCAAACTCACTTAAGTATGCACACTCTCAACTGAGAAGAGTAAAAAACTTACACAGATCCTAACGTGGTACCGCGTATGGTATGGGGCCGTAAAAATCTCCAAAAGGCATCTCTGAACTGTGAAATTTTATTCAATCCTGGATCAGATCCTGCAGCCCCAACTTGAGAGAAGGCCTGGAACAGTAAGACTTTGCCTCAAATGAGAATTGAGATCGAGAAGGACAAAAATGGAAAATTGATATTAAATGTTTTCTTGATCTTATAGAGAAAGAAAGATGCTGATACATTCCTTGGTGGGACCTACCAATGTCGCAAACAGAAAAGAGACCCATAAAACATGCTGCAGCGTTAATTAAAATCATAAGTATTGTTGTTTTTAATTCGTGTGTTAGTTTTTAATCATGGATTAGTTGTTGGTTATTTAAAACAAGTGCTTCATGCACATACTAGCAGTTTAAGATCATGGATCCACTTTCCTAGTTTTTAAGAGTGGTTGTAACTTCCTATCTCTATTTAAGAGAAGGATGATTTGAATAAAAAGCTATCAGAAAATTGCCCAGTTAGTTTAGCTAGGGAGTTTGGAGAACGCAACAACATCTCCTACTGCACTCTTAGGATGTTTTTACTTGGACTGTAATTTGCTGGTCTGGTCTGGTCTAGTTTCTTTGTATTTTTATAACTATCCAAGTCTGGTCTGGTCTGATCTGGGACGAATTGCAATCCAAGTAAAAACATCCTTAGATATATGCATTGTTCTTCTTCCTCTGAAACTAATAATCTGCCTCCCTCAAACCGCCCTGTGACACGATCTCAAACCCGGGCATGCAACAATTTGGTATCAGAGCCAGTCATCATGGGTACCTAGGAACAACCAGACGCAACAGACGCCTCCATGAACGAGCGCATGCTTGCCCTTGAGGCCCAAGTTACAGCCATACATGATGTGCTTCATTCGAGTTCAAATACCCATGCTTCCTCTGTTAAAAACCCTCCTCCCTCGACAGAAATGGTAGACAACATGAGAGATGGACACTCTAGTACCGTCTTGCCAAAGTTTTCACGCTTGAAGTTCCCTGTGTTCCATGGTAAGGAGGATCCGCTCAGTTGGCTTCACTGATGCGAGCAGTTCTTCCCTAACCAAAATACCTTGGAGATTGACAAGGTTTCCTTGGCATCATACCACCTGGCTGGAGAGACGCAAATGTGGTCTTACAATGTAGAGTTCAGGGAGCCCAACTTGCCATGGCACCGCTTCAAACACTTTTGTAAGCTATGCTTTGGACCACCATTAACTGAAAATGCCCTTGCAAATATCGCCCATCTGAAACAAAATAAGGGTCAACAACCCTGCTATAATGAGAAATTTCAAACCCTTCTCTCGCGCCACAACTGTCCGTGAAGACCACAATTGGTTGATCTGTATACTTCTGGGCTTGATGAAGTATTACGAATGGAAGTTGAGGCACAACGCCCTGTTAGCCTAGAAATAGCCATGAATCTGGCTCGTTCCTTCAACGCCAAGGGTCGCATCATCCCACACTGGTATGAGAAGTCTCATGTTCCGCCCTATAATAACAAAAATCTGCACCTACTCATAAGTTCTCCAGCACAATCCCTATTTACACCTGACCCTGGACCACGCCAACATCAATCAAATTCAGAAGCACCTGTTTCCAAGAGCCCATATATCCATAAATTGTCTTGTAATGAAATGGAAGACAGAAGATCAAAAGGTTTGTGTTACAACTGTGATGAGACATATACACCCGGACATAGGTGTAAGCGTTTATTTTATCTAGAACTCGAGGAGGTGGAAGGCGACAAGTCCACACTAATTGATGATATAGTTGATCATGAAATTTGTCTACATTCCATCACTGGTGTTGCTCACACTCAAACTATACAGGTTTTTGTATATATCAACGAGCAGCCCGTTAAGGCCCTCATCGATTCTGGCATCACTCACAACTTTATTGACGTAGGGACGGCAAAGAAGTTGGGACTGAGTATCCATGACTATCTAGGACTCCAAGTGGCGGTGGCGAATGGCAAAAAAAATGTGGGCCTCGGCCTATGCTCCAACACTTGCATACAAAAAGGGGCCCAACTCTTTCAAGTTCCACTATATGTCTTGCCCTTAGTAGGAGGTTTTGAGTTGGTATTTGACATTAAGTGGTTGCAAACTTTGGGAGCTGTGTTATGGGATTTTTCTGAACTCACAATGAATTTCAAAATCAACAATCATTCTGTCACGTGGCAAGGCAAAGGAAACAGATTGCTCAGCTCTATATTAGCAACCCAGGTTACACATACTTCTGCCCTTGATCATCTATTATTGCAATTTGAGGCTATTTTCCAGACTCCCACAACTCTACCTCCTGCCTGCCCGTGTGACCATCAGATTGCACTCAAACACGGTTCTAACCTAGCCACTGTTCACCCATATCGTTATCCGCAGCTCCAAGGAGAGGAGATAGAAACATTGTGCAGTGAAATGCTTCAGGCAGGCATAATCCGACCAAGTCACTCTCCTTTTCTTCCCCAGCGCTGCTTGTAATCAAACACGACAAAACACGACAAGTCACTCTCCTTTTCTTCACTAGCAAACATAAATTCCCCATCCCCCTCATTGATGAACTATTTGATGAACTTCATGGAGCTAAATTCTTCACCAAACTTGATTTGCGCTCTGGCTATAATCAAATCTGGATGGATATTGAAAAAATTGCACTCCGTACACATCACAGGCACTTTGAATTTTGAATGATGCCCTTCAAGTTATGCAATGCACCGTCCACCTTTCAATCTCTGATGAATGATGTATTCAAAGACTTTTTACGCAAGTTTGAGTTTGTTTTCTTTGATGATATTCTCGTGTATAGCAAAACTTGGGTGGTGCACCTTCATCATCTCATATTGGTCTGTCACTTGCTGCGACAACATCAATTATATGTTAAGAGAACAAAATGTTCATTTGGCGAAACTAAGGTTGCTTATCTTGCACACATCATCACTCAAGGAGTCACACTGAACGAAGAGAAGGTATTGGCAGTCTGAAAATGGCCAAACCCTCTCACAATTCGTGCATTGTGTGGCTTTCTTGATCTTTCTGGATTTTATCGGAAATTTATCAAGGACTACGGGACAATTGCAGCACCCCTTACTGCAATGTTGAAACAGAAGTCCTTCTAGTGGACCGATGCAACCGTAGAGTCATTCCAAACTCTCAAGGCGGCCCTCTTGACTGCCCCTGTTTTATGGATTCCTGGTTTTGCCTTTTTCAGTCATAAGATAGTCAGTCGCCACATCAAACTTCCTGCTTATGAACGGGAACTCATCATATTAGCCTAAGCAGTCTGCCACTGGCAACATTATTTATGGGGGAGGTCGTTCATCATGCGCGCTGACCACTACAGTCTTAAGTACCTGTTAATGCAACGCCTTGCAACAACACTGGGTGAGCAAGCTACTGGGGTTCGAATTTGATGTGGAATACAAATCAGGGAGACTCAATACAGTGCAGATGCTCTATCATGCCAACATGGAGATGAACCAAGTGAGGCACGAGGGTTCTTACTAGCCCTGTCAGTCTGACATTCTTCATTCCTTCCAGCTGTCCGGGATGAATGGCAGTCAAGCTCGGAAGGGCTACAACTGATCGAACGCATTAGCAAAGGTGAGGAAGGGTCACAGTGGCTTATTCTTGATGGGCTGGTCCATTACAACAATCGAATATTCCTGCTTCCCAACTCTGCTCTAATTCCAGTTGTACAGAGAGACATTCATGAGACTACCCATGAAGGCATGCAAAAAACACTCTTTCGTGTAAGTCGAGAATTCCATTGGAAGAGCATAAAAAAGAGTGTTCGTGAATGGGTACAGGGATGCTCAATACGTCAAAGAAACAAAACAGAAAACTTGCACCCGGCTGTGGCCTTCTACAACCCTTACCGATCCCCGAGAATATCTGGTCAGATATTTCATTGGACATTGTTGAGGGCCTGCCAAAGGTTGAAGGTAAATCTGTGCTTTTGGTGGTTGTTGACCGCCTCTTCAAATACACACATTTTATACCTTTGGCTCATCCCTACACTGCCTTATCTATTGCTCGTGTCTTGTATGCTAATATTCTCAAGCTTCATGAATTCTCGGTGACTATGGTCAGTGGTCAAGACCTTATTTTTACCAGCTCTTTTGACGGGAGTTGTTCCGCCTTTGTGGTACTTCTTTGGCCTTCTCTTCATCCTACCACCCACAAACGGATGGTCAAACAGAAGTGGTCATCCGGATAATTGAAATGTATTTGCGGTGTTTGGTTGGGGATTACCCACATCATTGGGTGGAATGGTTGCCCTAGGCAACATATTGCTACAATACCTCTTACCACTCAGCTCTGGACACTACTCCATTCAAACTTGTGCATGGTCACGACCCTCCCCGCATGTTAACCTATGATCCTGGATCCTCCAAGGTTGAGGCAGTAGACATATCCCTCAAAGCTCGTGATGAGATGCTAGCCAATGCCCTCAGTCACCTCCAACAAGCCCAAACTCGTATGACAACTATATATAACCAACGCCATCAGGACATCCATTTCCAGTCTGATCAATGGGTGTGGTTACACGTCCACCCTTACCGTTAGCACTCAGTTCAAGCTCGTAAGTTTCATAAGCTTAGTCCACGTTTCTTTGGCCCTTTCCGTGTGCTTCACAGAATAGGTTCAGTGGCCTATTAATTGGAACTGCCTCCTAAGAGTCATATACATGATGTTATTCATGTCTCCTATTGAAAGAACTTGAAGGTAAACATCCAGCACACATTGCCGCCATGCCTCTCCTTCATGACGGTAAGGTTCTTCTTCAACCAAAAGACATATTACGTTGTCATGTCAATCGAGGAACGAAGCAGATTCTAGTGACATGGGAAGGCTCACAGATCGAGAATGCTACTTGGGAGGACTTCAACGAGTTTACTCAGCTTTACCCACACTTCAAGCTTGAGGACAAGCTTGCTCTCCAGGGGGAATGTATTGGTACATTCCTAGGTAGGACCTACCAACGTCGCAAACAGAAAAGAGACACGTAAAACATGTTGCAATTGTAATGATCCCACACCGATCAAGTATGGGTTTGATCAGTGGCTTATAAGTTAAGCATCCCCTCCTCTTAATTGGC